CCCCCCCCCGCCCCCCCCCCTCCACCACTTGGTGATATGAGAGCCTGGTCCGGTGAAGAACCGGCGTGCTCTGTCTCGGCTTTGTAGGGATGCCAGGTCATTCATCCAACGACTACGGCATGCACAGCTATGAGTACATTGTCCCCCGTCGGGATGAACGAAGATATGTGCACACCTGGTTTATTTCCTTTCGGTTGCTACCACTTTCTTGTTGCTGCTATTGATGGTGCTTTCCACTTCATGGCTGTTCTTTGACGATCGGGAGAATCCCGTCAGATCGAGGAGGCCCGTGGTTCGAAAAAGTATGTGGTGGTGGTTATGTGTAAGGTTGTGCTTCTTCTCGCTTGTTCTCTCAGTGCAAGTATGCCTACTCCCCATGAGGCGTCGTCCTCGTTCCGGGATGACCCTTGTTTCTCTTTCCAAGTGTCAATCAACGGTCGGGGGGGGGCACAGCGGAGGATAACGGTGCACTGCAGACCCACCGAAATCCGCCGAGCTGTCTGTTGTTCTCCTCGATCCCAAGACTCTTGTTTGATAATGCAAGAGTTTATCTCTTGTGCGACGATGAACTGGTTGTGTTCCCGGTCGTTTTCAAGATCAATCAGAAGCACCGCGCCGGACAGGGCGGGAAGTGTGTGAACGAACGGAGGAAGGCTGGATACCGCTGTTGTTGGTTGTCACACTACGTTGTGCGATCGCTGCTGTATATCCATCTCAGGTGGCCCTCATGCGGCACCAGCTCAAGACGGTGGCGTCCGCGGCTCGCAGCGGCCCCGCCAAGTACGCTTCGATGGTGTCCAACGTGGTGGACATGCCCAAGCCCCAGGAGGCGTTCCAGGAGGAGATCGACAACAGCAGGGATACCCCGTTCGTGCCGAAGCTCAGGGAGAAGCCCAACGCCGTCACTCCCCTGGACCTGGCCCCGGTGAGCGCCGAGACCATTCACGCAGCGGTGCTGCTGCTGTCTATGCGATATATATATATGGCGTGATAGCGTCTGCATACACGGGGCTGAAATTGTTACAGAAGTATTTGCCGTAGTGTCAGAGGCGGCACGTTCATGTCTCGGAAAATTGAAAACGCCAACATGTCTTTGTGTGGTTGGTGATGACCAAAATTGCATCCTGTGTGCTGTTGGAGTCGCTCCCGCTCTGACAAGGGAGTACAAGTGCTCCAATTGTTTTTTGCACCGGTACTCGTTGCATTTGTTCATCGACAACTTCGTTTCTCAACCTCTCGAACAGCATCCTAGGACAGCAAGGGCTAGCATACGGCAACCTCAAATTCGTTGCGTGTTTGGACGACCACGACCGCTGTCCACTCCACAGATTTCTTCGCTTTCCACTTCAATGGGCATGGAGCTAGAGGGTAGAGTGGAGGACTCTATGTCAGGGTCCGGCTTATTGGACTTTCACTACCCGCATCCCTACGAGGTGGAGATCAGGGCGTTCCACTACATGCCGGCACAGGTGATGAGCTGTTGTTGTTGTTGTTGTTGCTGTGACCTGACAGGTATTACTCTTCCCCGATGCAACGATGCAATAAGTGTAGTAGCCAAATGGGGGACTCAGACTTTTTCTTCGTCGGTCCTTGACGTCGAGTTTTCGTATATGTGGTTTATTTTTTGTCACCGAACCTGCCGAAGCGGGTGTGGATTGCCGTCCCGCTACTTTTGTCGTTTATCGACGGTCAATTTTTGTTTTGGGCACGTTCAGGCCGTGCTCTGTCGTCGGTGATTGCCAGCCGCCACCACACGACCACAAATCGCCACTGCAACAGCAGTGATGGTGTAGCTCAAGCCTGTGCGTAGCCCTTGCCACCACCGTCTTATCTATCCGATCGCACGGCGCCAAGTCACCGCTTCTGTTTCCAGAAAGAAGAGCGCGCGCACCTGAGCGGCGCAGGGTTATCGAAACACGTGCAGATCTCCCCAACTCAGAGACTACCGTTGCTGTTCCCTATGACTGTTCGGCGCGAGGAATTGATTCCTCGCGAAGTAGAGCGAGAGAGGTGCCACCAAAATATCCATACGAACCATCGTACGAACAAGCGGATTCGACAGAAAGGGAGGCAAACGAGTGAGAACGCCCCAAACGCACATCACAGGCAGCACCGCAACCAACCGAACAACAACAAAGCGCCACCATCAGGGTGGTGGGCGACTCGGCCGCGCATCCACAGCAACACAGCCTTGCGGGCCAAAACAAAATCAACATGCACGCAAACAACAAGAACAACGAAGCATGATGAAAAGCACCCCCATCCCCCCACAGATACACAGCCTTGCAGGCAAAAACACTAAATGTCAACGTGCACACATTGCCACAACACCAAACCATGATGAAAACGAGACGCCAAAACATTTTATTTTTTCAACAGGTGAAGGCCCCGTTAGCTTCGCAGCTCGTCCGGCCGGTCCCGTTAGTCGGTGACGAAGGCCACAAAGCCCCGGCGGCCACCTTCGTCGACACGGTGGAAGCGCTGGACTCCATGATCTCCGACATCCTCGGAGATGGCGTTCCTGGCGGCGGCGGAGGAGGAGGCGGTAGCAGCTCCGGCAGCGACGACGAGGGCGGGGGGGGTGGTCGCGTCAGGGAGGCGTGCCGAGAGATCGCAGTGGACCTCGAGCACCACTCCTTCAGGTAAGTCCTCGTGTGGTAAGTCCTCGTGTTTTTGCATGGCCTTTTCTGTTGGACCATTGGCCGGGAGGGGTAAGGAGCCTTGCCAAGTGGGGTTGGGTAGAGGTTTTTCATGCGTTGAGTGATGCGTACAAGGTACAGGGGAGGTCGGTCCTTGTTTGCATGGGAGGGGGGCACGGAGGCAGGTGGCGTGTTAGACAGCTACAAAATTGACATCACGGTGGACCCAAGGTGATCTCAGGTTTTGGGCACTCGTGTGCTGCATAGTCCGCGGTGGGGGGGGGGGG